GGGGGGGAAATACTAAATAGGCAATAGATAAGTGGTATCTTGGGTGAAGGGTGAGAGAGTATACAATACAGGGGAAACTAGCACAACTTGCACAAGGAAAGGTCATGGAAGCCCCATAGACACATCCCAACTCCCTGAGGGACTGAATTGCTGGGTGGAGGGCTGTGGGGACCATGGTCTCGGGCAACATCTAGCTCAATTGGCATAACACGGTTTATAAAGACAATGTTCTACATTCTACCTTGGTGAGTAGTGTCTGGGGTCTTAAAAGCCTGTGAGCAGCCATCTAACATACTCCACTGGTCTCATCCGTTCGGGAGCAAGGGAGAATGAAGAGAACAGGATACAAGGAAAAGATTAGTCTGAAGGACTAATTGTCCACAGCTACCAAGGACTAATTGTCCACAGCTACCAAGGCCTCCACCGGACTGAGTCCAGTACAACTAGATGGTGCCCGGCTACCACCACTGACTGCTCTGAGCAGGATCACAACAGGGGGTTCTGGACAGAGCTGGAGAAGGATGTAGAACATTATTCTAATTCACAAAAAAAAGACCAGATTTACTGGCCTAAAGGAGACTGGGTAAACCCCGAGAGTATGGCCCCCAGACACCCTTTTAGCTCAGTGGTGAAGTTATCTCCGAGGTTCACTGTTCGGCCTGGGATTGGACAGTCCTGTAAAACCAAATGGGACTAATGAGGTACAGCACTCCAGGGACAAGGGCCAGAAGGCAGAAGGGGACAAGGAAGCTGGTGATAGGGAACCCAAGGCTGAGTAAGGATATTGTTGATGTGTTTTGAGATTGTTAACCATTGTAATAGGGCAACATTTGTAGTAAACTGTTAAATGAGAAACTATTTTGTTCTGTAAGCCTTCATCTTAAGTGAGAATAGCAGCACAATTGGAAGAGCGTAGTCAATGTCATTGATCTGTGCATGTAGAAATGTTTGAAATGGTATATCTTTGGCTATGTGTATTTTCACCAAAAAAAAGGTTGAGAAGTTAGAGGGTTGACATGTTGTGGGGTTG